ACAAGCTGATGCTGACAGCCCCGCTCCTGCCGCCCGCTTGTGGCAGACCACACTTCCACGCAGGCCCAGACTGGCCATCGGGAGGACCGGGAGGGAGTGTGTATGTGTGGCGCGACTCGCGCGAGCGAGACACACCTTACGTGTTGTTGTTAGCATCTGGTGCTAGCTAGCTGCGCTAACAGATATAAGGAGCTGTTTCAATGACATTTCGCCGACAACTGCGCCGAGCACTTGACTTTATGCAGGTAGCCAGACAGTGGGACATTGTACGAAAAGTCAGCACACTCAGCACGAATAGTACGCGTGATTGCGTCCAGGCAGCTCCCGTTCGAGCATATATGCCTTGAGCTGCACATAGCTCCAACGATCCATCACAGTGTCTCCACATTCATTCATACACACACACACACACACACACACACACACACAGTATTATTGTATGAGAGAGGTTCCAAGTTGAATTGAGGCGAATATTTGTAATGTTCAGAGGTTGTTGTGTTTAATATTCATGAGAATATTTGTCATTGTTCAAATGATAATAAACAAACATATAAAGCATATGTGTCCACTCATATGTTGATAAGAGTATTAAAAACTTGAAAAATATCCCTCTAAGGTACATTTAGAACAGATAAAAAATGTGCGATTAACTATGGACAATCATGCGATTAAATATTTTAATCGACTGACAGCCCTAAAAAATATACATTCTGCACAACAGTGTTATACTTTTTATATTTCCCTGCATTATCTTTTATTGATGACATTTTTGTTTTATACCAGCAGATGGAGCCAGTGATCAATTTTAAATGTTGATATCAGTAATGCAGTAATGTATTGATGTGGCTTACAGGAACCTGTTGGTGATTGGTGGTGTGCCTGCCAAGGACCAGATGGCTGCTCTGGAACATGGGGTATGTGACATGTACCGTCTCCAAACAAACTGAGTTTACACTTGAAGTAGTTTTAACTAACAGATATTTTTTGCCTTGTTTGCCTCTTCTGTTTCTGATTTTTGTGTCAAATTTTAATAAGGTTGACATTGTCGTGGGAACACCTGGAAGACTGGACGACCTCATATCCACCGGGAAGCTCAGTCTGTCCCAAGTCCGCTTTCTCGTCCTGGATGAGTGTGTATGTACAACACATCTTGAGTATTTCCCTTTTTAAAATCAGAAGCATTCATTTTTGCATCCAACAAAGTACAGTTAATGTTTAATCAGTGATTTTCATAGCTTAACCATCCCTGAAGTCACTCATCATTTTTCTGTGTTCCCTGTATCCCTCAGGATGGCCTTCTGTCCGCAGGCTATACAGACTTTATCAACAGGATTCATAACCAAATCCCTCAGGTCACCTCTGATGGCAAGAGACTGCAGGTAACACTTCAGATAAATCACATATGTGACAACAAATCAGTTATATCCTTTTTTCAGACCATTTTAAACCATTGTAAAGTAAGCACAAAACAACACACTTGGATGACTGTCAAAGCAATTTTGGGGTATTTTCTGAAAACGTTTTATATGTAAGGTGCAGATTAATTAAAAGAATATGTTAACGATGCTTGTTTGTGCTCACCAGCTAGCAAAGCAAGGAAACATTTGATAGCCGTAAGCAGGGGGAAGCCCAAGTGAACTATCTCAGTTGATATCTTTTCTTCCAGGTGATTGTCTGTTCAGCCACGCTGCATTCGTTCGACGCGAAGAAGCTGTCTGAGCGTATCATGCACTTTCCCACATGGGTGGATCTGAAGGGGGAGGACTCTGTGCCTGAGAGTGTGCACCATGTGGTTGTGCCTGTCAATCCCAAGAACGATCGCCTCTGGGAGCGCCTGGGCAAGAACCACGTCCGGGTGAGTCCCTCATGTTGGCCTAAAGAAACACTTCATACTGATATGGTTTGAGTTATAATGCTGGAAATTGTTTATCTCGGTTTAGATTATGTTAACAGTTTTTTTTCCTTGCTTTGAATAGACTGATGAGGTCCATGCCAAAGATAACACCAGACCAGGAGCAAACTCTGCGGGTAAGGGCTGAACTGTTAAGACCATTCAAATGTAACTCTCTTGTTTTATTTGTTAAATATAATCTAAGACGAGCAATGTGCTTTACATAAACAACAACAGGAATGGTATAGCGTTTTTTCCTTCAGGGAAAATTCATGGTGAAGAAAAAATGAGTGTTTGTCTGTGTTTTTAGAAATGTGGTCAGAAGCCATCAAGATGCTAAAGGGCGAGTACACAGTGAGGGCCATCAATGAGCACAAGATGGACCAGGCCATAATCTTCTGTCGCACCAAGATCGACTGCGACAACATGGAACAGTACTTCATTCAGCAAGGAGGAGGTATGAGTACTACTGAGAATTTCAGCTATCACTAGACATACACACACATATAAAATAATAAGGAATTAATTGATGTTTGACTAATTTTCTATGAAAAAAAATCAGAATAAACACTCAGTTTTGGTGTCTCTTCTTTAGGTCCGGACAGTAAAAGCCACCAGTTGTCCTGCGTTTGTCTCCATGGTGATCGTAAGCCCAATGAGCGGAAGACTAACTTGGAGCGTTTCAAGGTAAAACAACAAGAACTTAATGATACCTTTTTTTATGGATGACAACCAGTCTATTTATGTTGTAAGATCTTCTTGTGTTCACAGAAAAAAGAAGTGAGGCTGTTGATCTGCACAGATGTAGCTGCCAGAGGAATTGACGTCCACGGAGTTCCGTATGGTAAATATTTCAGATCTTCAAAATAAAATGGACCGGCGGTCATCACAAAATCATAAATGTTTTTATATAAGACCGCTCTCTTCCTCTTTCTCCAGTGATTAACGTCACCCTGCCAGATGAGAAGCAGAATTACGTCCATCGTATCGGCAGAGTCGGAAGAGCCGAGAGGTAAGCGCTGACAACCTGAGACTAACTGAGTTTGTGTATTTTGGCTGAAGAGGAGATGCAATTATTATTTTCCTCTGTCACCATATTAGTTTTGTTTGTAAATTCACACAATATACCTTTTAAAATGTCTCATTACACTGATTTAACTGAAAATAATTACATTTTAGTTACATTTTTTTTCCTTTTGATTTTAACTTGCAGAATGGGACTGGCCATTTCCTTGGTTGCTATGGAAAAGGAGAAGGTAGCGGAGATACAGAAATATTCTAATTCATTTTAACACATCACTTTTAAAAGAAGTTCAAATTAAATGTTTTCTTCATATGTGCAGGTGTGGTACCACGTTTGTGCGAACAGAGGCAGAGGCTGCTACAACATGCGACTGAAGGAGGACGGAGGTTACACCATCTGGTACAAAGAGAAAGAGGTGAACAAAGATGCAGAAACAAACTAAATCAAGCTAGGAAAATCTGTAATTTGATATACAACTGATTCAGCAGAGGGCTTTTTAGTGATTTGATAGGAAGCAGATGCAAACATTCAAAGTAAAACGCCTATGAGCAGAAAAGTTTTGCTATAATTTGGAAGCATTGAAAGCTTGAGCACACACTTTTGACCCTTATGACATAATTCCACACTAACCATTGTGTATTCTCTATTCTACTTGTGTCTTTTATTCCCTTTCCTCTCTCCACAGCTCCTGTCAGATATTGAGGAGCATCTGAAGTGCACCATCACACAGTGCGAGCCAGACATCAAAGTACCTTTGGATGACTTTGATGGAAAGGTCACCTATGGTCAGCGTAAGGTTTTGGGAGGTATGTTTTAAACTGCTTACAAATTGGTATTTTTTTTTATCATAGTCATTGCATAGATTTGCTGGTAACTTTGCTAAAGATACATCCACTGCAGTTGTGTTGAGCATGACTAACAAACCGGTTGCCCTTGCCTAGGTGGTAACTACAAGGGTCACGTGGATGCTCTGGCACCAACGGTCCTGGAACTGGCTATCCTCGAGAGGGAAGCCCAATCTTCCTTCCTCCACCTGGGATACATGCCAAACCAGCTTTTCAGAGCTTTCTGAACACGCCCCAACTAGCACTAAAACTGTACAGATTAAAGAAATGCTCCAACAGGAAACAGAATCTTTATGATACAACGCAGTAGTGTGCAGTTATTTCTCAAGTTGTTTTCCCACCCAGAATTATGAATATAACATAATAAAAATTAAAAAAATTCTACTATTTCACTCGGTATGCCAAACTTGTCTCTGGCATCTGATACATACACTAATGACAACATAATTTGTTGGATTGTGTTTTATTTTCTGATTGATGTGGTTGAATGAAATATTTAAGTTTCTTTATGGAGTAATTGGCTAAAAAGTCAATGTATTGAAGTGTCTGGGTGTATTTTTTTTTAAATAAACTGTAATAGCCTGCTCAGTTTGAGTTCAAAAGCATTCAAGTATCTCCAACAATTATGAATGTCTCCTCTGTTTATTTGATTTATTGAGACTGTTAATAATTTCTGATAAATTCATGAGAATATATAATCTTCACAGAGCAATTTTTATTTTCTGTCTGTTGTTACTGGATTGTTTTACAGCTTTGAGTCAGGCCTCCTCCACAAATATTGAACAGGCATTTTTAAAACTAAGCACCGTTTCTTGGCTCACCAATGAGCAGCCATATTAGGAAGTAAGAATAAAGAAAGATTTAGAGTTAGACCATAGTAGGACGCTACTTCTACAATATGAGGTTCTGACCTTTGCTGGTAGTACATTTGAGTATCTGGACCTCTTTGAATTATTATTGAATACCCTTGAATTATTGTTCAAAGAATTTAAGATTGTGACATTTAAAAGGGCAGTAGTATTACCACCGGAAATGAGTTACTTAAACTTACATAGAAATGTCATAATTTAAATCATATAAAAGTGCTGCAAGATCAAAGAATGTGTGGGGAAAACCAGAAATAACGAATGTATTACATTGATTGTTAATATGTAATCATTTAATTGTGCACATTGACAAATCCCGTTTTGATCGCTGATGGTGACACTTTTATTTTGAAATTTCCGCTCAGATCTTCGTTCTTCGCTTCCTGTGAAAGCTGTGCATCGACTTCTACATTTAAGAGGTTTTTGGCTGGATTTCATATAAGAAGACATCTTTTGGGACAATTTACGAGATGTTAACAAGGAAGGATAAAGTCTCCGAAAGTGTTCAGCCTACCTTTGGTACGTGTACAACTATTTGTTTCGTTGTTATTCGATCATGGCGGTTCGGTTGTGATTAACGTCGTCACAATGAAAGCATGGTGGCTGGAACTTTCTTCCTCTAGTCTGACGTGTTGGCCACAATTTGGTTGAGATTTTATCGTGTATGAGATCATATAAACAATGAAAGTCGAAAATGTGAGTCGCGTGTTCTTAGTCGAACCTATTTAAGTTGTATCTGCTTTATCGCTGTACAGAAGTAGGTTTTTTGTAACGTCAAAGGTTGGCATTGTGATGACAAAAAGCTTCATAGCTATCACCATTACAGTAAACCTATATGCAGTGGTGGTAAGAAACTAAGTTCTAAACTAAAGTACTGAATTGAAGTACTTCTACTCCAGTACAATTCAGAGGTAAATAGTGTACTTTTGCTCCACAGCATTTGTGTAATACCTTCATTAAATTTGCAGATGTAGATTAATGATACAAACTTAAATAGGACTTTAGTTGCACCAGGATTAAATTAAGTTGCTGGCCAGCAGTAAATTAAAGGTGGGGTAGGTAATTTTGGAGAAACCACCCTGCTGAAAACACCAGCTAAGACCAACAAGGCTGGTCAGGCTGGTCAGGCAACCAGCCTGACCAGCCAGTCAATATTAGGCTGGATTAGTTTGCTGGTTAAGAGGGGTTTTGGACACTTTAGCTGGTCAGGATAGCTGCTTTGGTCACAGTGGTCTAGCTGGTCACCATTAGCTGGTCGGGATAGCTGGTTTAGCTGGTAAAAGCTAGTGGTCACAGTGGTCTAGCTGGTCAGGATAGCTGGTTTGGTCACAGTGGTCTAGCTGGTCACCATTAGCTGGTCGGGATAGCTGGTTTAGCTGGTAAAAGCTGGTGGTCACAGTGGTCTAGCTGGTCACCATTAGCTGGTAAAACTGGTGGTCACAGTGGTCTAGTAGCTGGTCACCATTAGCTGGTCAGGATAGCTGGTTTAGCTGGTAAAAGCTGGTGGTCACAGTGGTCTAGCTGGTCACCATTAGCTGGTTGGGATAGCTGGTTTAGCTGGTAAAAGCTGGTGGTCACAGTGGTCTAGTGGCTGGTCACCATTAGCTGGTCAGGATAGCTGGTTTAGCTGGTGGTCACAGTGTTCTACCTGGTCACCATTAGCTGGTCAGACTTGTATGATCTTGAGTAGAACTTTAGCTGGGATTACTTGATGGTTAAGCTGGTCATATATGATGATGAAACACTCTCACCCAATTGCAGTAGCTCAATCTATCATTTCAGATCAGAGCACCTACCTTACCAGAAAGGTACCAGAATGTATAGAATGTATTGTCTGTAAATAAATACTCATACATCAAATGATTAGAAGCAGGAAAATAATTTATAACACACAATGAACATTAACACAAATTTGAAAACATTTTCAAAACACCCATTACTTCATATTTTTAAGCAGTTTCCTTCAACTGTTTCTTTCCGCTTTTCACAAGGTCCTGTATTTTTTGTGAAATGTAGTAACCGGCCAACTTTTCCCTCTCGGTTTTCTCCACGTTTTGTGAATTCAGCCATCCTCTGAAGCACTCTTGAAAAGAGAAAGGAAAAACAGATTAACTTTTAGCTTTGTGTTATGATTACTTAAAGGGGACCTATCATGCAAAATGCACTTTTGTACGTCTTTTATACATGAATATGTGTCCCCGGTGTTCCAGGGAACTCACCAAGTGTCAGAAAACACAACCCTCTCTATTTTCCTCCATACCCAAATCTAAAAAAAAGGGGCTGCAACGGATCTGATAAAAACTGATCCAGATTTGAACACTTTACTGACGTCAGGAAAGTGGCGCTACGGCTATTGGGCCAACTCTCCACCTATCAGGGGAATGTGGGGTTGGGCCACGGCCGGCCATTCCCGCTCGAAAGCGCTGGAGACGCTGTAGTACATATGCCAGGCCTGTAAGTGGCGCTGTAGTCTGACACAAAAGCAGCGAAGAAGACTTGGTTACCATGGTTACCCTTCTGTTTATTCTCCGCTGTGGCTTTCTTTCTCCCTCCCCGAGGCAAGCGTTTGCTCCTTCTGCTGCTTTAATGCAGTGGATGTGTAGGATCTACACAAGGTATATGCAGGAATCCTGAAGTCAAATGTAATACCTTTTAAGACCTTTTTTAAGACCCTTTCCATACATTTTAAGACCTCATCGCCACTTGGAGTTTTAATCGGTTACCTTGGCGACACACTTTACCTCACATTTACTATATACAGTATTGATTGTCCTTCCTCCTTATCTTCCAACCATTTGGACGCAAACTTGCATTTCCCCATAACGATGTTGTTTAACAACCGGCGTAAACGGAAATTTGCGCGCTATCAAGCAGTGAGCGCGATGTCCTGTTCAGATGACGTCAAATCCAACGGGATGCCATAAATAAACTACACAGAATCACACTACACACCTACGCAATGATTACATTCAGGCAAACTGTAGAATACCTCTTTGGACAATTTATATACTTATTGAAAACAAGCTACAAAATGTAATACCTTGGAAAATGCCGTTTAATACTTTTTAATACTTTTTAATAGCCTTAATATTCGCTAAATTGATTCATCAACTTTTAATACTTTTTGAGACCCCGCAGACACCCTGCTACAGTATGATAGATATATTACTTTACACCCGGAAGTATGTATTGTCAATCTTATTGTCGATAAATTGAGGGATATACGCTATATTTTATTAACACCAGTATGTACTTTATACATCCACCTCGAGTGTTTGTCTCTGCACCGGAAATAATTTAATTTTAAAGTTCAACCACATATTATATAGACTATATCAGCGCCACACCTGCGTAACACATGGTGCCTCTTGTCTGAACAATTTTTTAAGCGATTTGTAATCTATTCTTGTCGACTTGCAGCCTAAATACAAAGATAACTCCACTCTCCTACCACTGCTTACCTCTAATGAGCCTTGGTAGAACTAGTGTCTGAGTCATGGGGTCCAGAACTGACTGAAGACATGTGGAACAGAGGACAGGCATGGTTCCATGTACAGGAAACTGGAACTTTGAACAGGTGTTTTCATCTTTCCCGCCTGAAGATTCTCAAGTTCTTGATCAGGTGTTTGATGTGGGCTGGCATGATCCTTTCTGCAGCGATGAATAAAGAAAACAAAGAAAACATTTGTAATGATGGTAACAACAATAATATTAGTATAACTATTTATATAGCACTTACACAATTGCAAAGTGATTCTCCCAACAAAAATAAAGAACAAAACAATACCAACAATAAAAAAACAAATTATTATAGGAATGTTAAGAGACAAAGAAATTATAAACATTCTGAGAGGCCGACTACAAAAGGTAGACTCAATGGCTCTTGATGACATCAATGCGCAGTCCCAATAGATGCTGTTGTATACAAATAAATAGATTTATTCTATTTTGTGTTGGATGATTTGTTTTATTGATTGCTGATGGATGTATATATATATTAGAGATGGGCGAGTCCTGATTCATCCGGATCATTAACCCGGATCCTAGAAATGAGCTGGTCGTGACGAGTCTCCCCTCTCCATTAACCCGAGTCCTTGAGTCCCACACTTGGTGTGACGTACAAATTAAAACTATAAATTGCGTCACTCGCTACTCTCTTTATAACATGTAAAATCACATTACAACGTACCCCAGTCCATCTGCCTACCCTTTAGCAAGTATACAGGATAGCTGCCTGCCAGAAGTTATCGTTTGGCTCAGGGGAGGGGACGCGGATCAGTGAAACTTCCTGCAGACTCGTGGGGACTCAGAGGAGCCGACGGCTCCTAACCGTAATAGCATAGCAGATCCAGCAATCCATACTCGTCATGTACACGAGCATAGCCCCTCCTCCAGCACCCGGCTCCCACGCTATATTATGCACGAGTCAACAGCAGACTCGCAGATTCGCAGATTCGCAAATCCTGACTCGCTGCAACACACAGCAGAGCAGACTCGTGCGGACTCGGAGCCGTAACCATAATAGCAGCAGATCCAGAGATCCAGCAGACTCGTCGTCATGCACGAGTCAACAGCAGACTCAGATTCGCAAATCCTGACTCACTGTGCAACACACAGCAGAGCAGACTCGTGCGGACTCGGAGCCGTATATAGCAGCAGATCCAGAGATCCAGCAGACTCGTCCTCAGGCACGAGTCAACAGCAGACTCAGATTTGCCAAATCGCAAAATAACCCTTTTTTTTGTGATCAACATTTTTTATTAAAGCAAAATACACTGTGTAGCGGAGGTTAATATAATGTCAGTTTAATAGATAGATAGATAGATAGTACTTTATTGATCCCAAATTGGGAAATTGTTGTTGTTACAGCAGCATAAAAGGCATTTTACAATAAAACAAAACTACAAAATATACAAGAATAGAAAGTAAAATAAAATATAAAATATACATGTCGAAATAGAAAATATACATGCAGATATTATATATATATATATATATATATATATATATTCAAAATATATGGAATAATAATATGCTCGTGAAATGCATCAACTTTTCGGTTTCACCGATAGGATTTCTACGGTCTTGGTGATGCTGACTCGTATGACTCAAATGACTCGCATGATCCGGATCTCTTCAATGACTGACTCAGAAGACCCTGAGTCCGTAAAAGGATCCGGATTTGCCATCTCTAATATATATATATATAGGGTTTATTGAACAGCAGTAAAGCATTAAGTTGCTAAATTAACGTACACTGAACTGTAAAACAACTTACCACTATTTAGGAAAGGCTCAGGAGGGTTGACTAGTAGGACAGCAAAGAGGTGGAGGAGGTCTATGTACAACCATTGGTAGATGTTACACCTGAAAGAAAGATAATGAAATAAAAGAAGACAGGAGTACAAACATCCTCTTAAAGGTGGGGTAGGTAAGTTTGAGAAACCGGCTCGAGATACACTTTTTGTTATATTCCATGGAATGCTCTTAACATCCCGATAGCAATGAATATCTTAAGT